CTTGCAAATTCATTAGTACCTGTTAACCTCTATCACTCCGACACTGGCAACATTATTTAGGGATTAGTAACCGTCACAACTATTGTATCCTATTCTGCTCCAACCTTTATACCTGGTGGTCATACTCAATTTAAAATTGTTTTCCTATATACTTCTGTAAACTTGTTGACAAATATCTGTTTTTCATCGAGTCACCCGTATCAACAGTTTAGGGATTTGCATATATAATTTATTGTTTTATTACTCTCTCATACATATAAATACACTGTAAATAGTATACTTTTCGTCCTTCACGACGGTACTCTTGGATTTTTTGTAATTTAAGTAATTTCTCCGCCACAAAACAATTTGATCTTTTTCTAAAAGAACACTATTCCTGCTTCTTTTCATATATTTAATGTTCATTTCTTCTATTGTTCGCAATAAACCACGTTGTGATATTTTGGTTATTGAATTATCGGAATTTATTTCAACTTTAACTTTCTGTAAGGTTGGGATTTCGTTCCGAAAAAAGAAAGCATGGAATTTCCTCCGAACATCATATTTGGTATGATCTTTAAGCTAGATGCGGTTTCTACCTCTGGTTTAACTGGTTTCAACAGGTCCATCATCCAATTTGCCTTCACTTTGTTTACAATTGTTTACAATTCTGTATACACTTTTAGGTTTTAGGGAGGTATAACTATTACCTTTTAACCTAAAATTATTATTTATTGTAATTAGAGGTAATAGATTTTGACAAAAGCTATGAGTCATGCCGATGCAGTACACAAGTTTAACTATTATTTACAAGGTCATAGCTTTTGTTAAAATCCATTACCTTTAACTCAAACTTATAAAATAATAATAGAAAGTATTGATTTGTACGGCGATGTAGTATATCTTTCCTAAGTAAAAATATTAAGGGAATAAAAGTTTTGATTCTAAAAGTATGTCGAGTGGGAGATAAAAAAGTTGAACGTATTAAACGAGCACTGAAAGACGTATGTGGCGTCCTTCATTATTTTTAGTAGCTAATTTAGATTTCTCATCCCAAAAAACTCCAGCTTACCAAATTTCGTGTTGTTATACCATGCCTGTCACGAAATATTCAAAAATACAAGTTTACCTTTGACACCCTTTATTTTGGTTATTATCAACATTCGTACTAAAGTAAGTTAGTTTAAATCGGCCTTTTTTAATCTCATAAATCTAAGATTAAGTTATGGCCATTCGTTGCCAAACACCATGTATATTATATTAATATATACAGGGTGAGTCACGCTCAACGGGACGGAGCCTACCGGGGAAACGGCTAAAGATATTAAAAATTTCTTTTGCAGGAATACGTAGGTTACACGTACCGGCTACAAATTAAAATTTGTGAGATATATACAGGGTGTCCCAATTTGGCGTAATGATATAAACTTATACTGTTTTAAATGGAACAACATATATTTCACTTTAATTTTGAATTCTACTGAACAAAATAATGTTATTTTATTTAACATTCCCTATACCTATTTTGACCGGTTTCGATTTATTTGGGTTTTTCTGAAAATGTACTATTCGCGAAATTAATTAATTACACAATATCGCATGAATTTTAATTAACGCCTTTTTGTCAGTTAATTGTCAAGTGTCCATGCCTTACATCAGAATAATTACCATTTAAAACTAATCTACAGAGTGTTCGCAATCTGAAGTGTCAATGCTGTACCATAATTTGTATAATTACTTTCTTAACTTAAATGGGACACCCTGTATTTTACTTTAATTTTGAATTCTAATTAAAAAAATAAAATTACTTTATTAAACAATCCCTATACCTATCTTTGAGAATTTTCGATTTATTTGCGTTTTTTTGAAAATGCACTATGTATTCTTGAAATTAATTAATTTTTATCACTTTATTACATAAAGTTCTACTCTAACTTAAACAAAAACCCTGTATTTGAATGTTGTAAGAATTATTATAATCAAACTATTATAAAATTTTATATAAATATCTAGTATCTTCAAATCTATTTGCATTATGTTACCTGGAACATTACATGTCATTAATTACATAGCTCGTTATTATAAAGAATGCCATGAAAAAACAAAAGGTACCTAGCTGTCAAACTAATTGTCAAACTATTAACTGTATTGCTTTCAATTAAATAGAAATGGCAGATTATTCAAATACTGGGTGAATGTGATCAAAACAGTTTGGTAGCATCAAGAGTCTATGCTGAGAGATTTCCCTTACAACGTCATCCTCGTAAAAAAGTATTTGACAGAGTATTAACAAGGTTTCGTGAAACTGGCAGTGTTGTTTATACTAAACGAAAATTAATAAATCCGATAACTGAAGATGAAAATACCGAATTAGAAGTTATTCAATCAGTTATTGAAAATCCAAATACAAGTACAAGGACGATGGCCAGGGAGATTGAAGTTAGCCAAACTAGTATATGCAGAATTCTTAAAAAATATCAATATCACCCATACCATATTTAAATGCATCAGCATTTGTATGGAACTGATTTTGAACGTAGGTTAGAATTTTGTTTATGGTTTCTAGACAAAATGGGAGCAGATCAACATTTTTTTGATAAAATTTTGTTCACTGATGAATCTACTTTCCATAATAATGGACTCGTGAACCGACATAACTTTCACTATTATAATACGGAAAATCAACATGAATATAGATGTACTGATCGACAAAACCGATGGTCCATTAATGTATATGGTGGAATAATAGGAGAACATGTGATAGGACCGTATTTTTTTAATGGCCATTTAAATGGACAAAAGTTTTTAAGATTTCTACGAAGAGACTGTTGGATACTTTTGCAAAATATCCTTTTAAATATTAGAAGAACAATGTTTCTGCAGCTAGACGGTGCTCCAGCACATTACACGCGTAACGTTAGAGAATATTTAGACAGAAAATTTACCGGAAAGTGGATAGGTAGGGGTAGTGCTGTCAATTGGCCCCCTAGATCACCTGGGTTAACATCAATGGACTTTTTTTTTTGGGGGATATATTAAAAGTTTAGTTTATCAAACTCCACCTACAACCGCTGAAGACATGAAAACGCGTATTCGTAATGCGTTTGCAACAGTTACTCCAGAAATGCTAAGAAGAGTAAAACAAAATTTTGAACACAGAGTGAGGTTATGTATTGAAGAAAATGGACACCATTTTGAACATTTAATGTAAATTAATTTTTTTCTAGTGTGCTTTGTTTAACTTTATGTAATAAAGTGTAATTAATTAATTTCAAGAATAGTGGATTTTCAAAAAAACCCAAATTAATCGAAAATTATAAAGGATAGGTATAGGGATTGTTTAATAAAGTAATATTATTTTTTTGATTAGAATTCAAAATTAAAGTAAAATACAGGGTGTCCCATTTAAGTTAAGAAAGTAATTACACAAACTATTATATAGCATTGACACTTCGTATTGCGAACACTCTGTAGAATAATTTTAATTGGTAATTATTCTGATGTAAAGCATGGACACTTAAATTAATTGACAAAAAGGCGTTAATTATAATTGATGCGATATAGTGTAATTAATCAATTTCGCGAATAGTACATTTTCAGAAAAACCCAAATAAATCGAAACCGGTCAAAAATAGGTATAGGGAATGTTAAATAAAGTAACATTATTTTGTTCAGTAGAATTCAAAATTAAAGTGTAATATAGGTTATTCCATTTAAAAAAGTATAAGTTTATATCATTACGCCAAATTGGGACACCCTGTATATATCTCACAAATTTTAATTTGTAGCCGGTACTGACCTACGTATTTCTACAAAAGGAATTTTTAATACCTTTAGCCATTTCCCCGGTAGGCTCCGTCCCGTTGAGCGTGACTCACCCTGTATAATAACCCAAATGTCAATAATAATCATATTAAAATTAACATAATTAATTATAAATAGGCACATATTTATTTAATACAATTAGCTTTGTCGTAACTTCTTATGACATTTTTCGTACGCCATTGGAAGACCTACAATAGCGATGAACCGTCACTATTACTTACAAGAATTTACTGCCTAGATTTCTGCATTCTGACTATAGTACCGTTGTTAAACTTAAAATAGTAAAAATAATTGTAACTTGTGGAGTTATCTACGAAGCAAAAGCTGTAGTTTTTATTTTCCGCCGGGACAGCGATATATTTAAATAAAACATCTTGATCTATCTTAAACATTTATTTTATATTTTACAGAATCATAATCACATGTTTTTATATTTGATATAATTATATTTGAATAAAACATTAATAGGTGTCATATACTCCTTGGCCATACCTATTATATATTTCTTTGTCATAAAAATTCAGTTCCTTCAGATACGGATTTATAATAAATCCATTCTTATAATCGATATTAAATAATAATGGACGTGGAGTGATCGATGCAGGTAACCAAATGGCGTTATCCAAGTTTGAGGTTGGTAGAGGGATAGGTTTCCTAAAACATGCATTTTATTTAAAAAATATTGTTTGAACCCTCAGATTAGACTACGTCAGATCCAGCCATGACGGTCATAATATGAAGGAAATTATATTTAAGTTATACTGCTAAAATATTATCTTTCGAATAAAGCTAATTCCATGTCAATTTATAAAAATCACCTTTGTTTTATTTCATTTTAAAATTCTATACCTCTATAGTTTATTTTTATGAACGAGAGAGTAATTAGCATAATTTTAACTGGTACCTCCGACCACTCCATGGGCGTGCTCAAGATTAATTGAAAAATTACTTTGAATAATTGTAAACAATAAATGAATTATTTCAGTGTTATAAAGTGTTATGTGTATGTAAACAAAAGTGACCTCTTTTATCACACACTATATTAGAACTGACTGGCCTACATTAAAAAGGGTTTAAAAAAATTCACATTTTTTTTAATTTTTAAAAATTAAAAAAGAGAAAAAGAGTTTTTAACACCTTCTAAGGTATGTTAAATAGATGAATAAAAATAATAATATAAAACTTACAGCTACTTGTTACAAATCCAAATCAGATTCAGAAGATGAACCTTCAGAACCAAGATTTATAATAACTGGCTCGATCATTTTATCAGTAATATTGTCCAGCTTCCACATTTTTTCCTCTTCTTTAATAATGTGATTTACTGCCTTTTCCCAGTTTTCAGGTTTTACATTATTTACGGCCTCCAAAAACAACTGTTTAACATAATGAATTTTAAAAGTGGTATGTTTTCTTGAAACTTCACTCGTTATCTGTGCCCATACCAGTTCAATCGGGTTTAATTCACAATGATATGGTGGGGATCTAAGTACTGTCATTCCACGATTTTTGGCAATTTCATCAATTTCGTATTTTTTAAATTTTTCTTTATGAAGGGCACACAACGAATAAAGTTCCTTTCTTATAGATCCGGGATAGTACGTAATATTTTTTGAACTCAGCCAATTCTGCAAGTCTTTTTTTAACCACTTGGTTGTGGGCAGTCCTTCTATAAGTCTGGAGTGATAACTTGCATTATCCATTACTATTACACAGTTCTTAGGAAGAAGATCTATCATTTGTTTGAACCATTCTTGAAAGACATCAGCGTTTATGTCTTCATGGTATTCACCGGTACGAGTTGATTCAAAAGTTAATAAACCACCTTCAACAAAACCGTCTGAACTGCCAATGTGTACTATTATCAGCCTGCGTCCCTTTCCTGATGGTGGGTTTAAACCAGTAGATAAGTTATTTACAAAAGCGTGCCTTTGACTTGTATCAGTTTCATCCTGCCAAAATTTATTTGGTGTATGACCCTCGTTGATCCATGTTTCATCAAGATAAAATATTTTTCTTTTTTGGTTTCTCATTTCCTTTATGGTTCTTAGAAAATGTCTTCTCCATATGAGAATATCGCTTCTTTCTAATAAAATAGACTTTCTGGGATTCTTATTCCAGCAGAAGCCTATTTCTTTTAAAAGTTTCCATAACGTACTTCGACTCATTTCTGGGTAATCCTTATCATCTCGAACTGAGACAAGAACTTTATCCAATGTTGGAAATTCTTGTCTAAAGAAGAATTCATGAACTTTCCGTCGAAGTCCTTCTTTAAAATGATATTCTATTTGAAATTTTGGTTTTTCTGGAGCATTACGTGGCATTTGAAAACTACCGTATTTCTCTTCTTTAATAACTCTGTAAATCGTAGATTTCCCAACACCAAGTGTACTGCTAACTAACTTAACGGTCTCATCAACACTTTCACATAAACGTTTGTCTGTAACTGATTTAAAACAATTAAATATTAATGTTTTTTCATTAACTGTTAAAGGACCAATTTTTTAGCGTTTACACGGCACTTCCAAATTTTCCATAACACTAGTATACACAAGAAACTGCACCTTGCAACTGAAGTACCTACTTTTAGTGAACTGTTAAGAATTTTGAATATATAATAATTTGAATTTGAATTTTGAATAAACAATAATTTATTGTTTTATTACTCTCTCATACATAAAAATACACTATAAAAAAATACCCTTTATATTTAAATTCTGTATCGACCAACATTGATAAAATTTGCTGTTGTTGAATTTAAGAAATATAAAAAAGAAAAACTTATAGCTTACCCATATTTACAGAAGTTGGACCACATTTTAACCATTTTGCTTCTCACGTACAAGTCTCTCTTCGAAAATGGAAAATTAAATTTAAATAGGTAGCCCATGTCTTCGCCATGCACAACGCCTAAAAGTAAACTCATAATAAATAAATTGACATTCAGTGAATTTTTAGACAAAAACTTTTTTAATTCCTGGGATTGTCGGTTTGTTATAAATAAAACTTAATTATTGCTTAAAGGTTTTGGTTATTGACTTCTTGTACAAATCTTCTTTGGTGAAATTCTATTCCACTTGATATAAATTTTCAACCATGCCAATATTGCAATTCTTAGAAGGAATAAAGGAAGATATTTAACAGTACTTCTTGGGGTGAGAGCCCTCCGCTACCTGCCTACATAATTTAGATATTATCACGTCACAGTCAGTTGAGAAAAAGCTATTACCAAAGTCGGTCGCAAAATCTCGCTGCGCGAGATCAACCCAATCATTTATAGTAATCAGTGTTTTCTAAAACCGCAGTTATAATTTTCATATAAACACTTCATTTATACAAACCAGTAGTGTTGCCAGTAGTTCGCTTTGAACATAGATACAAGATTTCGCTAAGCAATTCTACTTGTAATGATATATAATAGTGAAAATAGCGTCAGTGAAACGTGTGGTGAAGTATCCCATATCACAGTGTTTTCAGACAGCTCAGAAATTTCTATTTAATCTTAGCATTAAATATAAGTTACTGTTTAATCTGTTTTTCATTCCACCCTTGGCTATTGGTCCTTTCCCCTTCAATTCTTTAAATGAGTTATTGCTTTTTAAATAAAAACTTTTTTAATTCCTGGGTTTCTCGGTCTATTATGAATAAAACACTTAATTATTTGTTAAGGTATTGGATATTTACTTCTTGTACAAATATTATTCTTACTTCTTTCTCTTTTAATTTATCTACGTCTCATTTTCTCTGTGCTTTTCGCCTTTCATTATTCGTTGTTTTTATTTTACATGTTGTAATCACTAGCAAAAATGGACCAGGAAGAAGACGCAACTCTTGGCTTAAAAACCTACGGCAATGGACGAACATGACCTCCATAGAACTATTCAGCGCTGCAACAAATAAGATTAAATGGGCAAATGTAATGGCCAACGTCCTTAAGGATAAGGCACCGTAAGAAGAAGAATCACTAGCATCTGGTCCGAATTGATGTTGGCCCCTCTGGAAGATTAAACGTCATTAATCGTTTGTTTGTATGTCTTTTAAATTAGTATATGGTCTATTTGATTTCCCTCCAGACTTCCTGGTCCCGTTCATGTTATTTTGTGTATGTCGTTGTTTATTTCTCGTGCCACTTATGTTCATGAATACTACCGCTGCTAAATTACATAGCCTTTCTTTGCTATGTTTTAAGTAAAGTATGTTTGCTGTAAGTACATGGCTCATTAAACTAATTAATCTATGTTCTTCACATTTTATAGCGTTGGCTTTTTCAGGAAGTGTAATGAATATTGATAGTAGCCAGTCTCTTGGTAAGTAACCAGTCTCGTAGATGTTGTTCAATAGCTTCTTAAGAGCTGTGATTTGGTGTGACTCTAAAAGCTTTAAAATTACACCATGCACCTCATCAAGTCCTGGTGATTTCCCATATTTAATCAGCATAATGGTCATAATTACTTCTTCGCTTGTTATTTCTGGGGAATAGGGATTGTTTATTTCAGTCAGACTTCGTGCTGAATCTTCGAATAATTCTTGCCTATATTCTTTCCATCTAGGTTTTTGTATTATAGTTTTAAAATATTTAAAAAAAGTATAATACTTGCCACTAAAATTATATCCAAGTGCCTTTTCAATATCTCCTTTGTAGCTAAATTGATACAAATACGTATTGAGGACATATTTTTTAACATCAGATACAAATCTATGGACCGGTCGGACAAACTCATCGATATTAAAAAACTAAAAATAAAAAGAATTATAAAAGAAAAATAAATGTTTTATTTTAAAAGTGTGAATGACATAAACATTACCAAACATTATTCGTAACATTACCAAAAAAAAATCCAATGCCTCACACTGCGGTGACTATCGAATATTAATTATGATGTAATATTAAAACTTTTTATTACTTAAACTTATTAAAAGCTTAAAACTTTTCTGAGAATCATTTGTACACGAATTTACAAGAAGTGTGAGTTTCAGTTCCTAAAGATAATTCATAAGAGAATCTACATGCTGTGTGAAAGTCAAATTTTCCCCAACCAGTTCGTGTTTACAAATGCTGTTGGTACTAGAGAGGCTTTGTTCTCAGTACAAGTCTTATTCCAGAGATGAAGAGACGTCAACTGCGACGTATACGCATGTCTGTTTGATTACGAGAAAGCGTTTGATCGAGTACAGCACGCCAAGATGATACAAATACTAAAATAAACAGGAATTAACAACCAAGATCTGAAAATAATTAGAAATCTTTACTGGAATCAGAGAGCATATCACAGAGTTGATGGTGAACACACTGACTATGTGAAATCCATGCGTGGAATCCATCAGACAGAATAGACAGGGTGGAAAATATCGAACTTATTAGTGAAGTTCGTTTCGGTTGTTAAATGCCCCTTTGTCCGCTTCTCGTCGATCGATGATGTTAGGATTAATAAATGTTGAAGTTGTGGAGTAAAAGTAATGATTTATTGACAGCAACTCGTAATTACAAAATATGGTGATCGTTCGGTAACTACTCAATATTGACTGTGTTCATTTGAACTCAAATCCCCAATTTATCTCACACATAATAGATACATAAGCACCTTAGGTCATTGCTTCGTTCATATCACACCACCTAACTTTTGCTTATAATACAATTTATTCTACGCCTTAATTGTGACACTTAGGAAGTTCAATTAGAAAATATTATTATTCGGCAATTTATTTAGTTGTAGGTAAATGAACTAATTATTAAATTATCATACGATATGGTTTTGCAATATATATAATGCAAACTTATACACGATGAAACTATAAAAGATTAAGAAGTTAAGAATAATGGAAGATTACAAATTAAGGGGTTAATTTGTGATTGAACACAGGGCTTGGAATAATCTGCAACACATTAAAGAAATTGGGGGCTATGAAGTAGTAAATAGTTTCCCTGTAGAAAGAATGACGCACTAGAACTATCTTGGCACCATAATAAATGAAGAATGGACCAACAACCAGGAGATTAGAGCACGCATCGAAAAAGCTAGATTTACCTTCAATCAGATGGCGGCCTTTTTAAAGAGCCACAACCTCTCTCTTTATATAAAAGTAAGAATGCTGCGATGCTACGTCTTCTCTGTCCTTTTTTATTATGTTGAATCGTGGACCTTAAACGAAGATATGTGCAGAAAGCATTTAAGATGTGGCTATATCGGATAATACTTAAGATCCCGTGGACTGACCGAAGCACAAATGAGGAGGTCCACAGAAAACTGAATAAGAACCGAGAGGTACTGACCACCATCAAATTTTAAAAGTTACAATTCTTCGGACATATTATGCGAAATGAATCTAGATGTGCTCTCCTTCAAGCCATTCTGCAAGGAAAAATATTTGGAAAAGTAAGTCCAGGAAGAAGAAAAACATCTTGGTTAAAGAACCTCAGAATCTGGTTTAATACAACATATGCGCAGCTTTTCCACGCTGCTGTAGATAAGATAAAGATTGCAATGATGATCTCCAACATTCGTAACGGATAGACACATCAAGATTAAGAAGAGTGAGTTTGAGATGATTGACACTCAATTCGGATTTCAAAATGAATTGGAAATACAAGAAGCTTTTTTTGTCTTAAATATCACATAAGATCAGTTGGAAGGCGCTAGAGCTCGTGGCTGAAAGACTTAAAGCAATGGTTTGACCGCTCATTCACAGAACTCTTTCAAATAACAGTTTCCAAAGCTACAATTGCCATTTGGATTTTGCCAACCTTTAAAAAGAGATGGCTTAATGGGAAGAAGAAGAATGAAATAAAAATAATAGATTGCTATTTAAGCTTTAAATACCATTAAAAATAAAAATCAACTATCTTATTATGGTTTTATTAAACACCGGTTACCCTATTTCAGCATGGATAAATTTTCCAAGGATTTGGATATGCTCATAAGATGCTCATATTAAGAGAAATGACCCAGCTCGATACGATATTTAATGTTTATCATTTATAATTTGGTATTGGTTCATGCGGATGTTTTATATCTCCTTACTTATACGTCCCCAGTAATCGAGAAATTCCTTAACCGATGGTAGGTTAAACCGAAACAAACTAAGGTATGCATATATTGATAGAAGATTTCTTAGTCCTCCAAGTTGATAGATAAAACAATGATCAATTTTATGAAGACTTGGAATCTGCTTATGTCACTTAGTAGGTACCATCGAGTTAACAATAAAAATTTTTATTGGTGACCTAAATGCTAAGATTGGTAAAAAACTGTTTTTTACCCTTACCTAGAAAGAGAATCCTACTGATATCAGTTTTTAGTGGGCAAAACCTTAACTGGCATCAAGTACCTTTTTAATTGAACATTTGCCCATATGAATGGAATGAAGCAGAAGAAGTACTCGACTACTTAGACTTCAAGGGTATACCGGCAGAATATTCCGGTGTAGGAAAATTCAGTAGTGAGTAGTGGTATAGATTTAAAAAAATAATTCCCCTAAGAGAATATGGGTACCACAATATTTCGGGCAAAGATTTTTATCATCATGCACTGTGCAACAGAAATTAACATGAATTCCTTCGAACTCAAGCGGATGATTATATGCACAAATGGCCAAGCAGTTATGGGGGTTCTTATAAACCATAAGGTCGACTTTAGGCTATTGTGAGAATGCCAAAAGGAACTGGAAAGACTGGCGGCACCTAACATATAGTACCCATTTTCTACAACTGTTTAAGCTGGTACACGGTTCCAAAATCCTGGAATGGAATATGTCAATATATTTTGTCATTATTAACCTTACTTTTTTGACGTTTACAGCTCTAGAACTGTCATTTGTGTCAAATTACGTGACAACATACACATTGTAGTGAATTTGCGCTTAGAGTTTACAACTGAATTTGTATGTTTTTGTATTGTTTTTGAAAGATTAGTATTGTTTTATCTTTGTAATATGTTTTAATAATGTATTAGTGGTGATTGTGAGTGAAAAGAAACTATGAGTAAAAGGCATTTAAAGACATTTTCAAAACATTTCGATTTTTGAGAAGAAAATCATAATGGGTAAGGCTAAAGACGTCCCTGCGTCAAAATTGGTTGAGATAAAAACACTTTTATTGAATACAAAGCTTTTCCAACGTCAGATAGCTCAACAATGCCAAGTAGCGCAAGCAACAGTAAGCAAAACCAAGAAAAAAATTGATATCAACAAACCTCTGACTCACCAGCGTGCCCAAAAATGTGATCGAAAGCGTGTCACTATACCCAGAGACGAAAGAAAAATGAGGGATATCTTCTTGCGATTGACCATCTCAATGATGAAAATGAGACTGTAATGAGCCAAAAAACACCAAAATTGGACAATTGAGGATTGGAATAAGGTAAAGTACGTCACTATTATAGTTTTAAATCCCTATAACCACTGTTTTTATCCTAAAAAAATATCTTATAGTTTTTTTTATTCACAGGTTTGTTTCTTCGATGAGTCTACAGTGGAGATACTCATGAATAAGTCGGCCTTCGTCCGAAGGCGAGTGAGTGAAAAATATCACAAGGATTACAGATTGGAGCGAGTAAAACATCCTCTCAAGATCATTGTATGGTCTGTGATCAGCAGTAAGGCACAGGGAGGCTGCGCATTGTGAATGGAATGATGAATCAACACCAGTATATTGAAGCTATGGAAAGAAAGCTCATGCCACAAATCAAAGACTGGTTTAGCGAATCGAAGAATTTTACCTTTATGCACGGTTTAGCACCGTGCCATAAGGCAAAAGCAATAACATCGCATCTGGAAAAAAAAAAGAAAATTAAAGTACTGAAGTGGCCAGGTAATTCCCCAGACTTCAATCCGATCGAAAATCTAAGTGAGCTTGTGAAGAGTGGGATTGTCCAGGAAAGTGTCACAAATAAGCAGCAGTTAATTGAGAGACTCATTGCCATCTGGCACAGAAACGCTAAAATAAAAGAAGAGTGCCTGATAAACATTCAAAGTATGCCAAGGAGGATCAAAGCTGTTATCTAAGCTAAAGGAGATGACACAAAATATTAAAAAAATTGTTATTTAAGGTCAAAGAAAAAAATATTTTGAAATTTTGTAAAAGAACGGGTTTATGATCTATTTTTATATTATATTCACATCATTACATGCTTATCTGCAGTTTTATTCTTTATTAAACAGCAAAATACAAAGTTTTTTGAAGTGATCCTAATTTTTTAATCACCCACTGTAATTATAAAATGTATACGTACGTGTACTAAATGACTGTCCATTGTAATATTTGGTGCATTTCCAAAAAATTCTTTTCTGATTTTAAGTCCCGCTTCTGTTAAATTTTTGTTTGAAATTATATCTGCTGGTACTAGTTTTCTTGGTTGTGTTTGTAATGTTGGTATAGAACCCGCAAATAATGCTAAAATAAAGCAATTTAAAAATATTTATTCACAAAGCAATTACCAAAACATCTAAAAAAAATAAGGAGTTTAATTGCTTATAGCTCTTTTAGTATATCTACATCAGAGGTCCCTGTATTAGAGAATGACACCAAGAAATAAATATTATACACTATACTCTGTCTGTTTGCTGCTTCTAGTTTTCAGCAGCGTACAAACCAACAATAGGTAACCATAGTATTCGCGATGTCAGCAGCGATAATGGAACAAGGTTAATAGACTTTGCAGCGTCCCACAACCTACTAATAGCGGCTTCCCACGGTCGGCGATATTGCGAACGTAAGCGGACCAGCCCGCACCACGCACCGTGGGAAAGGTCTCGTCCGTGGTAGCACAGGCACGTCTGTGCTGGTCCGTCCTATCCATCTAGAGTCGGTAACATCAAAGGTGCGGTACATGCTCGTGCGACGCGATCCTAGCGCGTCTGTGTTTTAACAGACGACAAGTGCAAGTCAGAAGTTTTTCAATCACTGACACGAGTAGTTGTTTGTAGTGTTGTGAAAGTTGTTTTGCAGTTGTTTTGCTAAAAAATCGAATGAACAAACAAAGTTATTTTTGATTTTTTAAATTTGTATCAAAATGAACCAAGTTCATGGAATTCCACGGCGCCAGAGCATAAGAACCGGAAAGATGCATACGATATATGGAACCGAATAAAAAATCAATTGAAGAATAGTACTATTTCGATTAAAGAATTAAAAAAGAAGAGAGATAATTGAATGCTGACATACAGAAGGCAATGATGTTTACAAGCCTGAGTGGCCTTTTTATGATATAATCAAACATTACTGTCACGGACCTACACAGACTGTCACGGACCGTAGGAAGAGCTCTGTCTGCGGTGCGTTGTAGTCCGTGCTGATCGGCTATCCGCGATGATCTGTAGAATCGCCGATCATGGAAAGCCACTTAAATAAAATCAACAATGTTCGAACACAAGAAAATACACAAATCAACATGGGTCTCCAACGACGGCATAACAAGAAATCAGATCGATCATGTTCTAGTAGATGCCAGGAGAAATAATAACTGTCTAGACGTAAGAAGCTTAAGAGGAGCTGATGGAGATAATGAGAAATGAGAATATGATAATGAGAATGAGATAATGAGAAATAATAACGGTCTAGACGTAAGAAGCTTAAGAGGAGCTGATGGAGGCACGGATCATTTTCTGGTAAAAGCAAAGATAAGGACAATAATAGCGTTAAGAAAACACACAATAATACATCAACACAATTATGGAATACCGAAGTTCTACGTAATAAGGAGAAAACAGAAATTTCAAAAGGCTATAAAAATCGCTCTAACACATATAACAACATGGACTCTGCTTGGAAAAATATCAAATTAGCTCTGAAAAGCGTATCAGATGAAATACTAGGACACAAGCACCGGGGAATATGAATTTTAAAGGGTATGTATATAGAGTTAATTTTATATCTTTAAAGTTTTCATTTACAAATTTAGATGTGCATATATTTTAGAAGGAATGCAATATTGACGGTAGTCTTTATTATATTGCTAATGTATATTTCCAAGGAAACATCTTAAATCGGGTACGTATATGAAATTAGACCTTTATCAAAGACAGGACTATTTATGTTTACATGACTTTAATATGTCACTAAAAGACTTTCAAGAAAAGAATTAAATCAGGTAGAAGTTCTAGGTACATGCAGTTTTAACCGTTCATTAGCATATAATTATCCTCACTCTTTAATATTTTGGTATTGTATTGGTATTTAATATTTTGGAAAATACACTTGACAATTAATTGCTATATGAAAAATCCATTTTGATAAACTTATCAATATGCAGAACTTAATAATTCTTTTGTACAATAAAAATAGTTTGTTTGTTCGGGTAAAACATATTACGAAAGTATTATTGTTTTTGTCCCATCAAATATATGTTCAAAATTACTGAAAAGTAAAAAATCCCGTTTATTCAGTATATATGTTTTAGCTGTATCTACTAAATAGTGCGCGCCACTGTCGTTTAGTTAAAATTTCAGTAACCAATCACCAACTTCAAAGGCAGTTCTTATACAATTTCGACATGCCTTATAATATGCCAATTAGATGCTTTCTCTAGTTAATCTTTAAGTTGTTCAATGCTTACCTGGCGCCATAATTCCGAGTTCATTTGAGGTATGTCCCACTAATATAGGAACACGAGTAAATTGTCCCGATAATAAGGATTTATCACTTTTAACGGTCAAGAAAGCTGTTTTATGTGGAACTTCTATAACTGGTCCCAGTGCGATACCAATTAACGGGAAATTGTTAAATGCCTACAACGTATAAAATATGACAGCTTTAACGGTTTTTAATGTATAGAGTTTAAGCAGAAAATTGTCTAAATTATTAGGTACATATTACAGCTTATTACCAATGAAGTGACGAGCTCTTCAACGAAATAGTTAATCGCGCAGACAATAGAATATCTATGATCAGACTCATGCAGTGGAGTTGTAACATCAAACAAATTAAATTATTTATAATAGAACTAATTACAAAATTATTACTCACTTAAGTAATAAATGGAGTGTGATTGTACACAGCTTATTATTACTCTTTATTAGTACTCTATAAAGTTTGGTAAAAGATAATTTCTAATTTAGTATCAGTAACCTTAAAACCGTAATTATAAAGTCATTATTAATGACTCCTTAACGGCTCGTTAGGGACATACAAAGAACTTATAAGACTTATTTCTGAGAATTTTTAGTCACTTGATTTCAAACAAGTTTGTAGTTTAGTCTCATTATGTTATCGAGTCTCAACAAGAAAGGTGCTACCACGCGTATTACAACCATTTTGAAGAATGGAGTAGTAGTAGCAGGTTATGTGTAGTACGAGTAAACAGATTAGATAAACACCAGAATAAAAAGAAATAGTGTACAATGTATTTAAATATATGCAAATACTATTTCCTGAAGATAATCGAACCAGTATTAAACAGCGTGTGAGTGAAGCTACTGAAGTATCTTTACGTACATTAGAAAGGATTATTTAACAAGCGAGTATGTTAACAAACGCAAAATTAAATAATACACTAAAATTTCCAGCTACAACAATTTCTAAAAGGAAAGCAACCGGGTCAGACTTCAGGGAGTATGACAAACAGTTCATTAGAAATACCATTCATCGTGTTTATGGTTGTATAAATTCATTATAAAGCGTTTTTATGAAGAACGTTTGTTCGGAATACACTGTAACTGTAATCAAACAAAGGTGATATTTTGGCATAAATTGATAACACTTATTTGACAGTTGCGGTGATGACACGGTGTTAAAAAAAGTTTTGTTTTTGTTTAAGTATTTCATTTTACATCATTATACGACGCATACAAGCAGCTTAAATTGTTTTTAACAAGATTATTTTTGAACTCTTGTTTTGTTTCTATTCATTTGCATTAAATAATATTAATTGGTTTTGTTGTATAATCCACTTTTGCATAATTATGTGACCTATTTGATTTAAAATGAATTCAGGATTTTTTTACACTTTGGCAAATATGTCAACTTCGATCTCTGTGAATGATAATGACGTGCAACGGTAAGAAAATTAGATGGACTGTACATGTATGTGATATATTATAATAATGTGTATTAAAATGTAGTACAATATTGCCAAAAATATAATCTAATATCATTGTTTAATAAATTGTGTGTACCTATCTTTAACAATTTGATTTAAATCATAAGTATTTTTTTGGACGCCACTGCTTTGTTTGGTGAGGCTTTACTGTTCCTAGATATTTCTGCCACTACAGTTGAAACATACTCTACTTAACCTGTTAATACAAATATACTAGTTCATTTTTTAAGCTTCATTATTTATAAAAAAACAAGCCACACAGTAAGTGTATTTAAAGTTAGTTTAATTTGTAACTTAATTCAATTTTAAGATTATTGGTAAATATTTCGTAAGCTTGTAATTGGTAATTTGATCACTATTTTTCACCTTTTCTACTTTATCAGGTCTTTTGTTTTTGTACTGCATATAATAGATTTAAAATCAATATTATTATTTTGGCAAAAAAATATATTATATTTACCACCACAGATAAAATAGATGAAACAGTTTGTAGCCTAACGTAATCAACTTTCTTTAAATTTTCTATTAACTCGCTGGAATTTGAAGATCCTACACCCAATATCTTTCCAGTGTTATGGGCCAATTCACTAGCCGTTCTCGATAATGCCCATAAGCACAAAGAAACACCACTGTTCATAATAGCTCCACTAAATAGTCCTAAAAAATAAATAGAGTTTGATAATGATTAGTCATTACTTTCCATATACATATTCATAAAGGAATTTTGTTTAGAAAACCATAAGATATAGAAAACAATGTTTTTATATCAGATCCGGAAGATCATGCGTAGATGCCGTCTTTGTACTAAAACAAATCACAGAAAAGGTCATCGAGTACAATAAACAGTTTTTTTGGCAAAGTATGTATTTTTACATTTAATATTTTTTTCTGTTACGGTACTGTAATGTAATGTGATCTAATTTAGTGCTGTATTCTAAAGACCTTTTTGAAATATATTGTTTCCTGTTGTCTCGTTAAACTTAAACTGAATATCTCATTTATGATGTTGTAAATACGGAGAATTTGGCTTCTCTTTTGTATGGTTCAAAAATATACACACAAGTGTAAAGTGTCGTGTTACCGCCACAATGAGCTAAAATTGTCGGAAAGGTCGCAATACAATGGAATGATTTATTGGTACACCCTCTCGGACCACCGCTTAGAGGGTTTCTTCTTAGCTCTGACCATATCAACGCATTTACTTCTTCGTAAGACAGTGAACTAAACGCTCCTCCATAGACCGGTCTCATGTTATTAGCTTCGGCGCCCCAGTCCGCGGCGTCATGATGCCCAGCGACCAATTCTTCAGCCTGTTACGAATTCATCAATAGAACCAAAGGGTAAGTCTGTTCTTTGTACAAAACAACAATAATGAGAAAACCAGTTGATTTCATAACTTATTCACAATTTATGGTTGCTATTTTCGCTAATTTTATGTACAAATAAATATTGCATTTTTCGTGATAATTATTTATCTGATCCTTAACTTAACTTAACCAGCGACCTCTCAAGTTTAATCCTAAACATTTGAACACCAGTAAACCTATATTTTATAGACCTGACAAAGGTTTTTAATCGCATAAAAGTCGAAGACACCTACTGTATAAAAGAAACATACCAATTAATATTATACAAACCATCGAAAACATCTACCTCCAGCATCTAATATGTACAGGCGAAGATAAATGACTCCTTTTGCCTACTTCTCTTTAATATAATAATGGCCGAAATAATACAAGCAGTACGTAAAGGTCACGGCTACAGAATGGGAAACAAAGAAATCCAAATATTATGTTATGCAGATGACGGTGCATCAATCGCCGAGACAGAAGACGAGCTCCAAAGATTAACACATATCTTCAATACAACAGCTAAGAAATACAATATAATAATATAAGCAGAAAAAAACAATTGTATGACAACATCTAAATACTCACTACATTTTAAATCAAAATATATGGGAAAATAATAAAGCAGGAAGCAAAGCCTAGATATCTGGGAATGGATATAACTAGTTACGAAGATGTTGAAGAAGAAGTACGACAACAAAGCTTAAACGCAAGTAAAGCGGCGGGATCTCTTAATGACACAATCTGAAAGAATAAATACCTAAGACAAGACACAAAAACAAGAATCTGTAACGCAGCAATTAGACCTATATTGAAATTCACGGCGGAGACAAGACCTGATACATCTGAAACGAGACGACTACTAGAAACAACAGAAATAAAAATACTCAAACAAAACGAAAACAGGAGTGGAACAAACAAATCAGTAGAATGGCAGAGGATAGAATAGTACGAATAGCACGAGTCACCAAATGGACGTAGAAGTATTGGCAGACCATGAAAAAGATGGCGCGACAATTTAAAAAATTTAGAAAGCTAATATTAAAGAAGAAACAGGCTTTAAAGCCTACATACAAGAAGAAAGAAGAAGAAGAAGAAGAAGAAGAAGAAGAAGAAGAAGAAGAAGAAAGATATAATATTTGTCTAAATTGTTTGCAATATAATGAATTTGTTTTATAAATTAGACGCGCTTTGTAGATATAGATATAAGTGTAGATTTAAATATGTAGTGTGATACTATTATCTCATTAAAATTTACCTTTAGATATTGGAGAAGTTAAATGCAAAGAAACAGACGCTGAGCCTGCACTTGCTCCCCAAATTGTTACGCGTTTGGGGTCCCCTCCGAAATGTACTATATTTCGCTGGATCCATTGCAAAGCAAGTGTTTGGTCTTTTAGTCCCCAATTTCCTGGACAGGACAGATCTCCCGTACTTAAAAATCCGAATACGCCTAATCGATACTGAATACCTACTACCACTAGACCTTCTTCCAAGAGTAGTTCGGGTGAAGCTACTGTTAAAGATCCATTTCCAGCATTGAAAGTACCCCCATGGATCCATACAAGAACAGGAGATCTTCCATTTAACTGTAAAATGCAAATATTCTTTATTATATACATACATATTTTTACATATTTCTCTGATATATATCTTAAAGATCTGGTTATTTTATATGATTTTTGTTTTTTGATTAGTCATATGATATGTAAACCAGATCTATTTAGCACTTCCGTCTGATGTTTCTAGTTTATGTAAAGATTCTCATGATATTTTCTTCTTTTTCTTTAAGTGCAATCTTTTAAATCTTCAGAAAACTAACTGAATCTTCTAGTTTGTGAAGTCTTTCTGATTCGCCGCATTGATTTTGGACCAATTTCTATTTAGCTTCTCTTATTATGGCCTTATTAAGTGTTTTGTCAATGTTCATTTATTAAGCCTAGAATCTTATGCATCATCCATAATGTAATTATTTCACACTTGTTTTGCTCAAGGATATTTTTAGTAGTTGTTTGTATATTTCTATTGAGCTTATTTAAAAATATCTTTGGATATATTTTGTTGGCTGGGATTGCTTTCCTGGCAAAGGTTATATATTTCTGCCTTTATTATCTCTTGTATTAATGGGCATATTAATCTGCTGACTTAAACTTTTTTTGTTACTATAGTTTATTTTTATGAACGAGAGAGTAATTAGCATAATTTTAACTGGTATCTCCGATCACTCCATGGGCGTGCTCAAGATTAATTGAAAAATTACTTTGAATAATTGTAAAAAATAAATGAATTATTTCAGTGTTATAAAGTGTTATGTGTATGTAAACAAAAGTGACCTCTTTTATCATACACTATATTAGAACTGACTGGCCTACATTAAAAAGGGTTTTAAAAAATTCACATTTTTTTTTATTTTTAAAAAATACAAAAGAGAACAAGAGTTTTTAAAACTCTAAGGTATGTTAAATAGATGAATAAAAATATTAATATAAAACTTACAGCTACTTGTTACAAATCCAAATCAGATTCAGAAGATGAACTTTCAGAACCAAGATTTATAATAACTGGCTCGATCATTTTATCAATAATATTGTCCAGCTTCCACATTTTTTCCTCTTCTTTAATAATGTGATTTACTGCCTTTTCCCAGATTTCAGGTTTTACATTATTTACGGCCTCCAAAAACAACTGTGTAACATCATGAATTTTAAAAGTGGTATTTTTCTTGAAACTTCACTCTTTATCTGTGCCCATACCAGTTCAATCGGGTTTAATTCACAATGATATGGTGGGGATCTAAGTAGTGTCATTCCACGATTTTTGGCAATTTCATCAATTTCGTATTTTTTAAATTTTTCTTTATGAAGGGCACACAACGAATAAAGTTCCTTTCTTATAGATCCGGGATGGTACGTAATATTTTTGAACTCAGCCAATTCTGCAAGCCTTTTTTTAACCACTTGGTTGTGGGCAGTCCTTCTATAAGTCTGGAGTGATAACTTGCATTATCCATTACACTTACACAGTTCTTAGGAAGAAGATCTATCATTTGTTCGAACCATTCTTGAAAGACATCAGCGTTCATGTCTTCATGGTAGTCACCGGTACGAGTTGATTCAAAAGTTAATAAACCACCTTCAACAAAACCGTCTGAACTGCCAATGTGTACTATTATCAGCCTGCGTCCCTTTCCTGATGGTGGGTTTAAACCAGTAGATAAGTTATTTACAAAAGCGTGCCTTTGACTTGTAACAGTTTCATCCTGCCAAAATTTATTTGGTGTATGACCCTCGTTGATCCATGTTTCATCAAGATAAAATATTTTTCTTTTTTGGTTTCTCATTTCCTTTATGGTTCTTAGAAAATGTCTTCTCCATATGACAATATCGCTTCTTTCTAATAAAATAGACTTTCTGGGATTCTTTTTTCAGCGGAAGCCTATTTCTTTTAAAAGTTTCCATAACGTACTTCGACTCATTTCTGGGTAATCCTTATCATCTCGAACTGAGACAAGAACTTTATCCAATGTTGGAAATTCTTGTCTAAAGAAGAATTCATGCACTTTCCGTCGAAGTCCTTCTTTAAAATGATATTCTATTTGAAATTTTGGTTTCCCTGGAGCATTACGTGGCATTTGAAAACTACCACATTTCTCTTCTTTAATAACTCTGTAAATCGTAGATTTCCCAACACCAAGTGTATTGCTAACTAACTCAACGGTCTCATCAACACTTTCACATAAACGTTTGTCTGTAAATGATTTAAAACAATTAAATATTAATGTTTTTTTATTAACTGTTAAAAGACCAATTTTTCGGCGTTTACACGGCACTTCCAAATTTTCCATAACACTAGTATACACAATAAACTGCACCTTGCAACTGAAGTACCTACTTTTAGTGAACTGTTAAGAATTTTGAATACGCCACTTGGACCTTCCTACGAAATGGAAAAACCCACTATCACATTTTTTGTGGAATAAGTTTAGAATGTAATTATCTAGTCAATTACTGTCGTAGATTCCTGGAATTAAAGAATTAAATGTTTGATTGTTGAAACCCTTACTTCGTGGAATGCACTCATTTCAGATAAAATAAAACGTTTTATTTTTTCTAACAAATTAAACTTTATTTTGCAAATAGGTAGGTAGTTATTAAACTGTTATTGGTTATATATAACCAATAAAATAAACATCTTACATTTCTTGCAAATTCATTAGTACCTGTTAACCTCCATCACTTCGACACTGGCAACCTTATTTAGGGATTAGTAACCCCCACAACTATTGTATTCTATTCTGCTCCAACCTTTATACCTGGTGGTCATACTCAATTTAAAATTGTTTTCCTATAACTTCTGTAAACTTGTTGACAAATATCTGTTTTTCATTGAGTCACCCGTATCAACAGTTTAGGGATTTGCATACGTAATTTATTGTTTTATTAGTCTCTCATACATAAAAATACACTATAACTTATTGTATTTGAAACAAAAACAACTTTTTTGCCAGGGTGACAAAATTTCAAAGACACGATTAGTACAAATAGACAGTATTACATAATGTAATTGACATGAAAAGTTCGATTTCACAATTTTATACTTGTACAAATATTTATAAACATAGTATTAGAGATTTCGCCAGGTAGAAATCGTATAATTTCTCTTTTTGTTCTTAGATGGCGTAGTTACGTCTGTATATAGTTATTTTGAAAACTATTGTCTACGACGGGAATAGATTTATCTGTATCTAACCAAAATCTAGTACCGTCATTATGTTTGATTTCTTTACTCCGTTTGAAGTACCAGAAATTGAATGAACTACGAATTTTGACCATGGTGAACGGCATTTGGAATGCAATCTTAGATTCCCTTGCCGAGTAATTTATCAAGCTGTTTGCTTTACA